AATGTCAACAATTAAAATAAATTCCTCTGTCATCTCAGAGAGCAGTATAGTATCACTTATGAATTATTTAAGTAATAACTTTTAAAACAACAAAAAAACGCTAGAGTGCTTTTTTTCTGTTTTTGATATTAACTTGTAAGGGTCTAAGCAAAATGTAGCTCAAGCCCTCTGAAGCCTCAGGAACACCCCCACCCCAGTGGCCAGGGTGCCCAGGACCAGGGACGGTGATCCCAGTTTGGATTTCCCCAGCAGCAGACCTGAGACAAGTATTCAAGGGCAAGTGGTTTGTTGAGATGAAGGTAACACAGGCAGGGGGGTGGGGAAGTGTTCCAGGGAAGGAAGCCAGTGAAGGGGACTTTATCAAGCCAGTTACCACCATGGGGGACGGGACCGTAAGCCTGCTGGGGAGGCTGCACACACCTGGGGTCTCCCCACCCCAGGGGCCAGAGACATGGGTTACTTATAACATCAACTCCCTTCAGTCGCTGATTTGAGGGAAGCTGTCAGGGGGCATTTCCAACCTGCAGCATGGGTGGCAAAGTAAGCAGCAGTGGCCAGGGAAATTCCACACTCAAGGGCTGGCCTTAGGAGGTCAGGAGGCACGCGCTCAGGGGGTAAGGGGGAGGGCATATGGCAGGGCAACAACAGTGCGGGGACTCTGGCCCCATGGCCTCAGCTCGGGTCCATGGCAGTGCAGGGCCCCGTGGCTGAGCTTTTAACTTCCAGAACAAAGCCCAACCCTCTCCATGCTCCCGCCACATCTTCCAGAAGAGCCAAGGAAGCTGAGGTATCAACTCGAGCTCATTCCTGGCACTGTGGTGGCTGCAACCCCTTCCTTTAAAGGACACCCCTGCTGCCCTGACTGTGCTGCAAGGACTCTGCCCAGGTTATGCCTTTGCTGCCCATCAGTAATATTTGCACTGCTTTAGCCAAAGTTTTCTGAAAATCCATACATGCCAGGCACTATGCTAGGCTTTGGAGATACAATGGTAAAGAAGAAAATTAGGAATTAGTTATTTAATATTCATAATTTTAACTATCACAGCACATTAGCAATCCATGATACGTGACAATTTGTATGTCTGCTTAGGTGTGCATGTGAACCTTGCCTGCAAGCCACTTACCTCCTGAGCCAAGCTGACCTCCTAGCACCCATGCGCTTTTCAACATGACTCCGAAGGTGCCTTATGAAATGATGAATCAGTTTCTTCATGGAAAATTGCTCCTGACAGAAAGCCAGCTGCCAGGGCTGGTGATGGATGAATGTATCTCCTCTATGACTCCCAATCAATCTTTGCCCTGGTGGCGAAACAATATTACACCCCTGTTTGAAAACACTGGGGTTTCAACTTCAACATGGGTAACTGAGCTCAAATCTTTGCCACTTTTCTGTCTTCCAGGCCCATGGAAATGGGATAAGCAAACTACATACTGGAAAACAAGGATGGGTCCTATCAATCCACCAGTGAGCCAGTAACACTGAGGAATTTCTGGAACTGGTTTAAAGGAAAAGCCAGTTGGTGCTGGACACTGAACACAGGCACATGAAAACAGGACCAAGGGAAAAATAAAAAACGTACACCCAGCCCGGCGGGCGTGGCTCAGCGGCTGAGCGNTGCACATCCAGCCCGGCGGGCGTGGCTCAGCGGTTGAGCGTCAACTTAGGATCCAGGCGATCGGGGTNCGTACACCCAGCCCGGCGGGCGTGGCTCAGCGGCTGAGCGTCAACCTAGGATCCAGGCGATCGGGGTTCGATTCCCGGTCAGGGCACATGCCCGGGTTGCGGGCTCGATCAATGACTCTCTCATCATTGATGTTTCTATCTCTCTCTCTCCCTCTCCTTTCCTCTCTCTGAAATCAATAAAGATATATTTAAAAAACAAACAAAAAACAAAAAAAACAAACACACAGAAAAACCGAGGTACAGAGTAACAAGGGCAGGGATGAGTAGGGAGTGGTCAGTGGGGCAAAGTAAAGGGCACTAGAAATCACCTGTCACAGGGGCCTGACACGAGGGAGGGGGGGCATGGCTCGGCCAGTTCCCACCTGGCACTGCCAGCTCACACAGTAGAGGGGAAAACGTGTTGGTGCCACTTCTACCATAGGTGGTAGTGCCGGGGGCACGGGGAAGGAGACCCCATCCCAGGTAATCAGGCTGCCATAGCAAACATCAACCCCTACTCCCTCCAATGAAACTTAAAATCAAAAACAGCTTCATGCCACAGTGAAATCCCTTCACATGTTCTGTAATCCAAAAGGAGGACTTGTGAGCAAGTCCCTTCCCTATATCCTCTTAATAACTCTAGCAGTGTCCTGACACAGGCACCAAAAGACCACCAGCAATGGCTAGAGGAGGGGTACTCAGGGAGGCAGTGGGGTAGCTGTATTATAATTCACCCCAAATCCACTCTTTCCCACCACAGCACCCCCTCCCAGGGAAGAGCATAAACCCTGATGCCCTGATGTTTGTCTTGGCATGTGACTTGCTCTAGTCAATGAAATATGAGTAGATATGGCCCATGCCACCTCACGCCACAGNCGCCCTGATGTTTGTCTTGGCCATGGGACTTCCTCTAGTCAATGAAATATGAGTAGATATGGCCCATGCCACCTCACGCCACAGGACTCTTTGGCTCCCATTTTGTGCTGCAAGAAGGGAGGTGTCATGGGAGAGTTAATCTTCCAGCCGGGGTGCCTTTGTGGGACGGCTGTGGCACAGGCGCAAAATCCAGCATGAGGCGCAAACTAAAACCTGGCCCACAGATGGGACAGAGGCTTCTGACGACCCACAGATTCATGAGCAACTAAGCAGTTGATGTTGTCGTCACAAAGATTTTGAAGGTGTTTGTTACCAAGGCAAGAAGTTGACTAATGTATGTGACCCTATAATATATTGTCCAGGGTTGGGACACTTTTAAGAAACAAAAGAGGCGATATAAATAATCACACGGGACAAGAGACTTCACTAGGATTGTCCAAGGTAAAGCAGGTCATCTGGTCACCCTGGATTTAAGACTCCCACCTGAACTCTGAACTTACCAGCTTGGTACAGTCTGGCCCCTCAGGGTCTACTTGGCATAGAATACATGCTAAATAAATGAAAGTCTGGGCTCACTTTTGTTAGAAAGCACAGAGCCCTGACCCAGACAAAAAATGACTCCAGCTTGTTAGCTGACTCCTAGCTCATGCACCCCCCCAAAACAGCTTGCTCGCAAGTCCAGTCATGGGCAACCCAGGAGGGCAGACAGCTTGTCTGTCTATCTCAGCATTGAATTCCAAGCATCTA